CTAGTCAGCCCTTGAATCGTACGCAACTTGTGGCAGGTACCGTAATGAGTGCAGGAAAAGCAAGAACTTGAAAGTAAGTCTCTGCATCCTGGCATTAGAGGTCTGCAATGTCATTTCATGCGCGGGGTAAGCTGCATGTCAGGTAGTTTATTCGCGTAGCGGGGCTGAAGATGGTGGTGGAGGGAAGAGGCATCACCGTCGGCCGACGCGAACGCGCCGGTCACGGGAATCGGCGGCAATGCGGGATTGATGCGGGACTTGAAAGCTTGAACGTTGAACTTCCGAGTCGTTTTGCTCGCCGTGGTGCCAAGCTTCGGTCGATCTCTTCACGAGCCGCCATGACGAGCAGTCCGCAACTTCTCCGAATACAAATGGGGTTACCACGCAACAAGTGACAGTACCGAACATCTACAGTTCCGTTTTCTACGATTGCCGCCAGGTTATTTAGCGCGCGCTCACACGGCGGCACAATGGACGCGCCGCCTTTCCGAGCCCATCCTCCGCTCTATCGACGCACTGGCACCGCGCTGAGTTCTACTCTCGCTGGGGCCCTGTGATGCCGTGTGCTTCCCTTGTTGGCCTTCTGGATCGCGAGAGCTATCACTGGACCCGTACGGAACGCCTATACACTCGGCCTAGCACGTTCAGGCTTTTTGGTCATCCTAGGACGCTCTACGACCGCCGCCCGCATTGCCTCGGAGGCTGGTGGCCGTGCTTCCCTGTGTCACCTGCATGGGTAACGCGTGTCTCGCAGATGCACTCACGTCGTGCCGCCGAGGTTGTCTTCTCCCTCAAGCGCCTTACCTCCCTCCCGACATCGTGGTACAGTCCTCTGTGGTGTTCATATCCAACACACCTTCGCACCTAGCCATTTCTACATGACCTAGGAGTAGACTCCGTGTCTCCCAAAGTGTGACGAAGGCTCTTGTAATATCGCAGAGGGGAACAAACTCGGTGTAAGTCTCGGAATTGATTATCAAACATTGTTGAAGCTCAACTGGCGTCTTTTCTCGTGTAGGATCACGCACGGGCCATAGTTGACTAGGATCTTCTCACTATTTGATTGATGCTGTAAGCACGCGCGTTCGCCAAAGCCTCTCGTTTGCCTATCTGGGATCGCCGAACTTCCTGGGCGCATCAGATCTTTTGTCGCCGGTGTATTGGTTGAATGACAAGATGCCATCGCTCTTCTCGAGGCTCTGCCTAGCCAATTCGACGCCTCTCTCGGTCGCCTACACACATGCTCGCATGCGTTTCCGTCAAGTTTCCTCCCGCTTTCTGCATATCCTCGGTGATGAGGTCCGCGACAATGAGTCGTGATGTCCGTACCTCCGCGCATGGACACTGCTCTATCTCGCCCCTGCACAGGCAGGTCTTCTACCTGATCATCTCGCTTGGCTGTACTTGGCATCGAATGACGGCTAGCAAGGTCTGCTGCCATCGACACCTGGATTCGGTCCTGACCTCAAGATACTCGTGTTCCTATTCAGACTTTACGTTCCACGCGGATGACTGTGTTCGTACCACCTGTCCGCGTGCATCTCCGTCCTGACTGCAGTATCGTGACGTACCCGCATGGTACTCAAACTGTTCGTCAAGTACACCGAGGCTGGCCTATCATCACATATAAAAGCGCCTGTCTCGGCAGACGGCGCCTTCATCAGCTCACCAGCAGATCTACTTCTCTCGCAGAACTATGAAGTCTACGTTCGCCACTGCCATCGTCCTCGGCGCGCTCTCGAGCGGCGCGTCGGCGCGTCTCTTCACGGTCTACAACCAGTGCCCGTTCACCATCTGGCCAGCTTGGTTCGCTCCTCCTTCACTCAACGCCGGAAAGCCCACCATTGCCTCGGGTTGGGTTCAGAACGCCTACCAAACCGTATCTTTCGGTGTTCCCGACAACTGGGTTTCTGGCCGTATCTGGGGTCGCCGCAACTGCGACTTCTCTTCCAACCCCGGCCCCAACTCTTGTACGTTACTCTTATGCCATCATATGGTTACATTTGTTTGATTTGTACCTCCAGGCCTCGACGGTGGCTGCAACGGTGGCCTTGTTTGTGACGTCAACAACGGTGGTACTGGCGTTCCTCCCGCGTCGCTCGCTGAGTTCACGCTCTCCGTCAACCCAAGCGTTCCGGACAACTACGACGTCTCCCTTGTCGACGGCTACAACCTGCCCATCAGGGTGAGTAACTCCCACGGATCCATGAACACTTCTAACGTGATTCGTATCCAGATCGACAACAACCGTGGCTGCCCGGTGGGATCTTGCCCGGTCGACCTCGGTCCGAACTGCCCGGCGGCGCTCAAGGGTCCCTACGACAGCAGCGGTTTCCCCGTCGGCTGCAAGAGTGCCTGCGTAGCGCTCGGCGGCGAGAACAACTGCTGCTCTGGTTCGCACAACACGGCCGCCACCTGCCCGCCGTCGGGTGTTACTGACTACTCCTACTTCAGTGAGTTGCCGCTCCTTCTTGTCATCTCCCGATCATTGCTGATGGTATTACAGAGAACAACTGCCCCGACTCCTACGTCTACGCTTACGATGGTAAGCATCCGCGGTAGAATCAGTCGTGAACCATCGCTCATCTTCTCTACAGAGTCCAGTGGCACCGCTCTCTTCACCTGCCCGCTCTCCAACGGTGTCGGCGCTGACTACACCATCACCTTCTGCCCTTGAACGTAACGAACGCAAAGCTAACGATTGTCGGAACGCGATGCTGAAGTGATTGCGACGATTGTAACGCAAAATAATGGGATTGTGTACATGTCTATCTCTTTTCTACTGGGTCAATATCGGTGTAATTGCAATGAATACTGTGACTGTACCTTTCAGCGCGTGCTATGGGCGAGAACGATGCGGGATCCTGGCATTGCGATAATATCTTGCTAGGGTTAAGGTTAGGTCCACAAGATGATAGACGCCGCGACTCGTGGTTGAGAACCGACCACCATTTAGAGTCGCCGGGGCTTCGAACCTTGTGACAACGCTGAATCAAACCTTTTGAGGGCATGCAGCTACTCAGACAGAAGCGTCTTTCCTGGACTCAAAGATGCCGATGAAGGTATAGACAGCCAGGTGGATGCCACCTGACTGCTCGTACAGCATGGCGCTTCGATTCTTGGAAGGCGGCGTGCCCTCCATGCGCGGGTATAAGTCTCGGTCTGGCTCGCAGATCCTTTCTCTTGCCTTTTCTCCTCAGGAGAAGCCTAGATGTTATTCTTCGGGTTCGCGCTTTTCGCCAGGGCCGTCCTCGGAGTCGGGGCGCAGGGCGTCCCGGCATGCGCAACATCGTGTGCAAACGAGGTCGCTACTCTCGTCAGTTGCGGGTCCATGTATGTGCGGCCATTCATGGCTCCCCAGAGTTCCAATGAAGCTTATATTGCGTTAGAGCTAATACCACATGTATCTGTTCTACACCGCAGTTTCCGAATCTTGGCGGCCAGTGCATCGCCGAAACATGCTCTTCCACCGATCTCCCTGCTGCAAAGACGTTCTTCATCGATTTGTGCAGCATGACCGCGACCTCGAGCTCTGCTTCGACAAACGCTGCATCCACCTCAATAGATGGCTCGACCCTGTCGCCTTCTTCCGTCCAACCGACTACGTCTAGATCGCCTTCGTCCATTCCTACATCGTCAGGGACAGGGAGGAGTAGCATACTCATACGTACGTAGCACGTCAGCCTGAATCTGCCCATACTGACTATCAGTACTGACAGCGAGCTCATCGTTCTCAGGCTCGACCCCGGCGATATCCGCTCCAGCGACGTCTTTGACTCCCTCGACTAGCTCTCCTCTCGCGACCTCTTCCGGGCCCATCTTCACGCCACTGCCACCGCTGACTACGGTCCTCTCTGTTCTCTCAACACCACTGGACAGCACGTCGACATCGACTGTACCTTTGGTGATCGTCACTATCACAACCCCAGTGCTGCCGATACCGAGTTCGTCTCCGAGCTCTGGGGCGTCTGCGTCGCCAAGCTCGACGTCGAGCGCATCCCGTACACATAAGATGGTCGCACATGTTTTTACTGTATGCTTTGCTTTGCTTCTTGTACTACGATATTGATGTATTCTATCGCTTTTGTCATGTATCGTGCAAACGGTCGGGGCCGCAGAGTACTGGGAATCGGTGCTCAATAGGTTACATACTGGGACGACGTAGTAATCTGGGTGTAGGGATGGTCACTTGCGTGTAAAGAGTCTTTTGAATGTCTCAACGGCCACCAAACGAAGGCCCCACCCAACAGTCGAAAGTACCAATATGAACATCGTGAAGTGGGAGGGAGATGGTGAAATGATCAAGGTGAAGATAGAAAGGTAAAGCCCCACTCGCGCTCGACCATCGATATAGTCACGATCCATCGCCATCGCGCGCGCCATAACCTGCTCGGAACAAGTCTCATCAAGCTCGATCTGGGCGGCATATTGAGCGAGCGCAAGCGACTGGGATCCTATAGACAGCTGGCTTGGAAGGATCGAATAAGACAATTCTGCCATAGCCACGAGCGTACGGGCCGTCTCGTCATCTGCGTGCAGATCGCCGTCTATGGTAATGGCGGAGACGCCGATGTTCCACTTCCTGGGCAGCTCACGAGAGAGCGCTATAGTTCCTACTTCCAAGGCTAAGCGCACGAGTCAGCGATAGCTCGCTCCCTCGGAGAACTAGGTGCTTACCCTTGTTCATAGTGCTCACGATCGGGCCCACTCCCGACTCAGTGGCGAGGATGTTGAAGATACGCCCACCGGCGCCCGTCGGATTGCGCTCGCGGAGAGTCTTAACACCCTATGCAAGAAGGTCAGTAGTGCGTAGTAGGAGGTGGTCTCAGGTCACATACGGCTGAGCTCGTATTCATTGAGGACCAGAAGATGCGATCAACGGCGCCGTGCAACAAGTCCCATGAATCTCCTTGAGACCCAGGTCCGCGAGAGGGAGCATTCACGACTAGGTCGAGCCGTCCAAAGCGTTCCACAGCCTCGTCCATTGCAGAGGTGATGGACGCGACGCTGAGATCTTGCAGGCGTACGAGGAGAAGGTGATCATGAGCGATAGCCAGAGACTGTGTCTCGTTTGCAGGCGTAACAGCGGCGACACGAGAACCTGCGGCGAGAAGCACCCGCACCAAGGTCTGTCCAAGGGTTGTGTTCGCATTCGACACTACTCTCCCTGATTAGCATGCTGGTCGTCACTCGACGATGAACGAGAGCGCGCACCAAACCATACGCGTGCGATTGAAGAACGAGTGCTTGCCGTCTTGACGCTTCGTAAGATATTCTGGCTGTGCGAGATGTGCGCGATCTGTTTCAACGCCATCGCTCGCGAGACGCCATACGACTCGCTGCCAAGCAGAATCGCACTCTGGAGTTGATTCCTTGGTTGATCGGCGATGGCGACTAGCTGCGCTACCATTTTATGAACGTCTCCGATACCAGGAGGTTGATTGCCCATCGCCGAGCGCAAAGTCGCAGATACAGTCCGACCGAGATCCTTGGCGCCATACGCTGGAGGCTGCTCTTTCAAGTCCGCTTGGGGATGTTCTTCGAATCCACCTGGACGGACGTTGACAGCAACGACGGAGGGAAGTCCACGGGCGCGAGCAAGAGTCCAAACCTCCGAAGCTTGCGAGTCAGAGGTCAGCGTATTGCGAGCTGACACAGACTGAAATACTTACCAGCTTTCGATGCGCACATGATAGTGCCTAACGGCCCTGGGAATACAGCGGCGGGAGACGTGATATTGAATATTAGACCCTGATCTCCTTGCGCGGTGAATATTTTTGCAGCCTGGTGACCGCTGTCAGACAGGCCACAACATAAGGTTGAATAGGATCACTTCTTCCTGTACGCGCGCCGGTCCCCAGAACTGGGTGGTAAAGATACCACGAGCCCTCTCGTCTGACAAGGCCTCCAATTCACCGACTGCATTGCTCCCCGCTTTGTTGACCACAACATCAATACGCCCGAATCGCTTCTTCGCCGCGTCAAAGGCCACGGAGATTGAAGATGGGTCGCTGACATCCAAGGGCAGGATCATGAGTGCATCTGACTCCTCCTCAGTAAATGGGAGCTTGGACGGGGAGCGCGCAGTGGCAACGACGCAGTGGCCAGCTTTGAGAAGTGTCCGCGTGAGCGCGACGCCGAAATTGCTGGTCGCGCCTGTCAAGAACCAGACTTTGCTCGTATCGCTCATTTCGAAGGCGGGAGTGAAGGGAGGTGTGTTGAGCTGTATGTGCGGCTAATAGCTGTATGAGGTCAGCTCTTATATCGTCTCGAACGCGTGGCTAGATCACGCACCTGCGGGAAGCGCCGCGCGGCCGGCAACATCGCCACGCGTCCCTATTCTTGCTATGTGCCGTTCCTGAAGAATCTTGAAAGTGTTAGACATCATTAGAGTAGGGAGGGAATGTAATCCCTCGTACATGTAAAGCAAGAGGTGCACGTCTTTGGCTTCATCAAAGCGAATGCCTTGCAAGGGTCTGGGAGGGAGGGGTAAAAGACACGCCCTGCTCGTAGATGCGGTCCAATGATATACTCAGACAGACGCAGTGCAGCGCACGTCAAGAGTCAAGGTTGACTTGTAATTGCAGTATATCTTGAGTGCTCTGGCAATCGGTGTCATGTCGCGCAACCGGAGTCATCACCCCGCGCGTCGTTGAAATGCGATTGAGTGCACGCAGCGCACCATATGACCGGAGGCGACCTCAACTCGTGTATTTCACCAGAAAAAAAATCCCAAAAAAGATCTGGGCTGGTATAAAAGTTGGAGGATGAAAGTTCGCTCTGAGCCTCTGACAGGTCGATGCACAATGGCAAGAGAGAACTCGCGAGACCCGGAGGGCGCATGTCAACATGGCATCAGTAACGCATCACAACATGTGACATGTCGCGTTTAGCAGATCCAGCCTGATCCTCGCGTTTCTTGCCGACCACGGTGATACGCATGATATTTTGAGCAGAACTATCCTACTGTTCGAAACCCAGCAGCAATATACATATGTTTGTACACTACAAGAGCTAGCTACGCGTAAAGGTACCCCTCAACGACTCGAACATCACCATCCGGATGCCCCAGCCCAGAGCGCTCAATAATAAGAAAAGCTTCGAGAGTACGGACGGAGATGGTGAGAGTACCACAGAGAGAAGGGAATGAAAGAGACCAATACGAGCCCGGCTGTCGATGTGGGCTCGGTCGGTACTCATCGCGCGTTCCATTGCGTCCTTGGAGCAGGCTTCCGACAGCTCGACCTGAGCTGCGTGCAGAGCGGTCCTGATCGCGCGATCCCCGAAGTAGAGCTGGCCTGGAAGAGATGCATGAGGCAGGTCGACGAGTTTCATGAGTACATGAGCTGTCTCTTCGTCCGCGTGCAAGTCCGGATCAATGATGATTGCGGAGACGCCGATGTTCCACTTCCGAGGGAGCTCACGGACAAGCCCTGTAGTCGCTGCGGTCACGGCTTGGGGTGCGAATTCGTCAATACTTGACTGTATAGCAATCGGTGTAAGTCTTACCGATGTTGAGCGCGCTATGCAGGGAGGATGTGTTTGTGTCGTCTGCATCGACGGCGGTGAGGACGTTGAAGATGCGCCCACCGACACCGGGCGGATTGGTTTCTCGTAGCACCTTCACAGCCTGTTCAAAAGAGAAGTAAGCAAGAGCTCGATGTACGCGAAGAGGATACATACCGCCGACGCCGTATTCATAGGTGACCAGAAGATGCGCTCGGTAAGTGCGTATGCCGTATCCCAATCGCCAGGTTGTTGGGACTGTACACCGCCAGGAGGAGTATTGATGACCACGTCGATGTTCCCAAAATGATGCGCAGCTTCGGTCAGAAGTTTGCTGATGTCGGATACGCTGTTCGTTGATGCACGGCGCAGGACAAGGAGTTGATCCATGTTGGTACTTAAGGAATTGACCACATTGTCAGGTATGACGGCTGCCACACGGTGGCCCGCATCAAGGAGCAAGCGCACTATAGTACGGCCAAGCGTAGAGTCCGCACCGGTCACTATCGAATCCCGCAATTAGACTCTTCTGCTAATCAACAGACACGGGACACGTACCAAACCAAACGCGCGCATCTTTGGACTGAGAGCCTGCTTTCTTGAGGTCATTGATGATACGCTGTCCGTGCTGGATGTTCGCTACACGCTTCATCGCGCCAATGCGAGAGATTGCAAATGCCTCACTACCGAGCAAAACTGCTCCGGAAAGCTGCTCCTTCGACAGCTCGGCCAGAGCAATCAAGGCTCTGACCATCTTGCGAACGTCTCCTTGGCCAGGAGACTGACTGCTCATTACCGTTCGCATAGTTCCAGCCAATGTGCGACCTAGGTCCTTAGAAGTGAAGGCTGGAGGTTGGGGCTCTAGAGGAACCTCTGGATGATCTTCGAATCCACCCGGGCGAATGTTGACGGCCGTTACGAAAGGAGATGAGCGGGCGCGGGCAAGCGTCAGAACTTCGGATCCTACATAGGCATAGATGCAGTTTGGTCAGAGATGAAGGTCTCGGAAGGGGTGGTAGCGGACGTACCGGCTTTCGCAGCACACATGATAGCTATCAAAGGACCGGAAAAGACAGCCATGACAGACGTGATGTTCAGTATCAGACCCTGGATCTTCTGGGCCTCGAAAAGCTCAGTGGCCTAAACGCGTCGGTCAGACCTCATATCCAGGTTAAAATCGTGCAACTCACTATCTCTTGGACGCGCGCAGGCCCCCAGAGTTGAGACGCGAGCACTTTACGAGCTTTATCCTCCGATAGGGCTTCCAGCTCAACGAGCGTGGTGAAGCCTGCCTTATTGACAACGACGTCGATGCGTCCGAAGTGCCTCCTCGCGTCTTCGAAGGCTTGCGAGATCGACGAGAAGTCCGTGACATCCAACGGTAGTACCAGAAGCGCATCGTGGGTCTCGAAAGGGAGCTTGGAGGGAGTGCGGGCAGTGGCAACGACTTTATGACCCGCCTCAAGTAACGCGCGCGTCAATGCGATACCGAAGTTGCTGGAGGCGCCGGTCAGGAACCAGACCTTGCTGAGGTCGGACATGCTGCTTGGGAGAACAGATGGGTGCGAGTGTCAGCGCATCGGCCTTTTGTATCCTTCTGGAAGCAAGTCGAGGGTTTAGGTTCCGTGTGCGTCGGGCGACTGTAGAACAGGGCGGGGACCTCCAGCGCGGCAACATCGCCGCGCTCCCCTGACCCTTCGATGCATTCAATCGCGTTGGCTCCCGAAGCGTTGATTGAGCATAGCTTTTCGGCATGTCGTTCATCATGGTATTCAGTTCGGGTCCCGAAAGCCTTTCGTATGTCGCGCGCCTGCCTGATGATGCAGTGATTCGTCAGTCTATTGGCGGCGCTCATTTCCTGTCAAGAGCAGTCAGCCAGCGAAGCCACCTAACTTTTGCCGTAGTCGCTATGCAGCCCGCGCTTGAAGGACTGGCCTCGAGTTCGAGATGCTTTCCACTACGAGTGGCGTAGAGCTTTGCAAGAGTGGGTACCGTTCATGGGGTTGACTGTCGAGACGGGGAGTCCGGGCGTGGTATACTGCTTCGGTCGTGCTGAAAAGCCTGGGCAGCATGACACTCCAAGCCGCGCGGGTATGATATCTGGCCATACAATTCAAGGCATAGCATAAACAGTGCGCTACTCGATGAGCGAAGGCAAGAGGTGGGCTCGCCGATGGCTCGATAAACATTGTCCATCACGCGTGACGCTTGGTGACTTGACGCGTTGATCAGATCCCTGTCCTCACACCGCAGCGATTGCTCTTGACGGCCATGCAACAGCTCTTGCACATGCAAGCCTCTCTTATGCACGGGATACCATTAATTCCACCGATACATGCGCTTCGAATGAGGCATCAACCGGACTCTCGGTCTCGTCTGTATAGGCGATGACAGCAGCATTCAACACGACGCTTTGACGCCACAACATTACCCTTCACTTCAATTTTCGACGACGCAAATTCTCTTCTATGCCTATTCTGCGATGCCCGCGCCCTACGCTGTGCAGCTCTGCAGCACAACCGAGTCGCGATGATGTCTGTTTGTCCATGGCCAGGGTCTAGACCATCATATTGAGTACGCGCGCGTACCGCGCGGATGTACTGTAGCGACGCGTCAGCGCTGAGCGCAACTACGACCAATACCGCCGGACAACGGATTCCATCATGAGAAGCTGCCTCTCGGAGGCGTCTGGAGGCGCCTGTACTGTGCAGTTGCTCCACAGCCGCGAGCCCATTTTGCGTAATTTCTCCATTTCATGGGGCCCTTTCAGGTGTATGGCTCGCCACACTCACAACGATGTTTCGACGACGGAAGCCACAGTGAGTATGATTACGCTTGGCCCAACTCTTGTAACCTGCGGAGGTGCTGAGAGGTGCTGAGCCAGCGCAGGCGAACTTCAGAAAATAGAACGCCAACAACGCGACCACGTGCGTTTTCGTACCGCCCCTGCCAAGCGTGTCTCCAAGCCAGCCGCCCCACTCCACTCCAGACCCGTCTTCGATCAAACCAGTGACGCAAAAGGCCATCTCACCTCCGTAAAACCCGCGTCCAAAACTTGCTGTTCAGACGTTGCAGGCTACCCAGCTACCATGTTCGCCTCCTCATCCTCACTCAGACTATACGCGCTCGCCACTTCGGCTGCTCTTGCTCGCGCGTCGGCTCTAGGTCCGCGCTCGTACGCCGGGGACGCTGTTGACGCCAACGAGCTGCATGCGTATGACGGGGTCGAGCTTGTACATGTGCGCCGACAGGTGCCGGACGCGGATACCATCCACTTCAACGTCCTGCACCACCTCTCCGGCATCGCACCCTACTTCGACTCCCCTGGCGTCGGACTGCAACCGCAGGTCCCGGCAGGATGCAGCGTCGAGGGCGCGAGCTATCTATTGCGGCACGGCGACATCTACGCGAACGACTTCGACTACGAGTCCTACCTCGGCCCCTTCGGCTCGAAGGTCGCGAACTACACGTCCAAGTCTGACTTCGCCAACTTCGCGCCGTTGTCGTTCCTGCAGAGCTGGAGCTCGCCCATCACGAACGAGACGGAGCAGGTCGAGAAGCTGACGCCGACGGGCGCCGCGGACGCTCAGGCGCTTGGGAAGCTGTTTGCTAAGCGCTACGCCTCGCTGCTTGCGTCCACGTCTGAGGGCGAGAACGTGACGCTCTGGGCCGCCTCGAGCGATCGCTCCACGCAGACCGCGCAGAACTTCATTCAGGGTCTCGGGTCCAACACCTCGGCTTCGCTCGCGCTGCAGATTATCCAGGAGGAGGAGGATCAGGGCGCCGACACGCTTACGCCGCACGAGTCGTGCGACACGTACGAGGGCAGCTCTGGCTCCGAGCAGAGCGCCGCGTGGAGGAAGGTGTTTACTGCCGCCCCGATCGCACGCTTCAATGCTGCTGTGCCGGGATTCAACTTCACGGAGACGGACATCGTCGCGATGATGGAATTCTGCGGGTACGAGATGGTGATCAATAACAGCAGCAACTTCTGCTCGTTCGACATCTTCACGCCGGAGGAGTGGTTGGGCTTTGAGTACATGAATGACATCATGTACAACTATAACAGTGCGTCGTCTCCCGTCTCCCGTTTTGCCCCTCCCTGACCATTCGCTATAGTCGGCTACGGCTTCACTGCTTCGCCGTCGCTTGGCACACCCTGGCTCTCAGCGACCGCCGCTGCGCTCGGCCTTGGCAACGCGACGCTCAACGCGACCACCGAGTCTCAGAAGATCTACCTCTCCTTCTCGCACCGCGAAGAGCCCGCCTTCATCGCCTCCGCCCTCGGCCTCTTCAATGACTCTGGCGTAACCGGCGCACCCATCAACGAGTCCCTCCCCACAGACCGCATCAACTACGACCGCGCATGGCGCACCTCGCGCCTCCTCCCTTTCCTCGGCCACGTTGGCCTTGAGCGTATAACCTGCACCAACGCAACGGGCGCGCAAGAGGGCACATACGTCCGCGCGATCGTCAACGGCGCGCCGATGCCGCTGCCGAGCCCGTGCAACCAGGACGGACCGGGCGAGAGCTGTGCGGGCGCGGACTTCCAGACGTTCGTGCAGACGCGCGCGGAGATGTATGATTTCGCGACGGACTGCGCGAACACGGAGGGCGAGGACGCGATCTCGTTCTTTGCGAACATCACGACTGCTATGACTGCTTGAACACGAACACGCACTGCACGGACTAGGAACGCTTTTGACGGACTGTTGTACTCTGCTTTGATATTTGCAACGCTCTACTATCACGAACTTTTGCATACTACGCATTCACACCCTAATACACAGATGTACCTACGACAATATCTCAAGCCAATGTAGTGATGTGACCTATCCACTGAGATACAAACTGAGACTTGGCTGTAATGCGTACACTATACGGATATCTGTATCGGTACTTCGAACCGCGAGCAGCGATCGAGGCGCGGCGAACGAGTGGCGAAACCCTAACCCAACCTCGCCGAAACCTGATGACGTCTGCTGATCCGAGCCCTCGACTTGCTTTCCGGCTTTCAACGAGCATCTCAGCACACCCGTACCTTTGCTCAGATCCTTTATCCTCTCCACGCCTGTCTTTACACTCCTCGAAATGGCTCCCTTGCACCAGAAGCGCGGCGATCGGCAGATATCATTGGTCGACGAGGACAAAGCAGACGCCGCCGCCGTCAACCCGGCGCTCATGTTCCGAGCCGGCATCCTCAGCTCTACCTTATCGTACCAGCCAACTCTTGCTAAACCTGCACACGCACCGTCTCCAAGATTCTTCAAAGCGCCCTACACGGAGCCCTGCGGCTCAGCGAGTACTTGTAGTTGCGCATGTGCTGCGCTCAACTTCTACAGCCGGTCCGGGTCTCCCTGAAGGCGTCCTCGAGGCCCTTCGACCCCAGATTAGATCGAGGGACGGTTAAGTGAAGTTGTGTGTCCATCTACACGTTGTGCCGCCTTGTGCTGCTACACGTGTACGGTAGTTCCCGGACACGCGAAGTGTTCAGTACCTGACGACGAAACTATATAGTACGCGCCGCTCGTCCAGAGGCGGCGCACTTTTGTCTCCCTCCTCACCCTTTCCCCGCCCCGCATCGACTGCTCGCCAGCTGTGCTCGCGAGCCCTCCTGGACAACCCTCCCAATACAAACG